ATGGCAACTCGAAACATGTACCTGGCAATTTAAAATCATTTGTAATCAACATTGTTCTAAGCCTATTTCATCAAAGCAAAATAAATGATTTTCAAAGAGAAAACGAACAAAAACAAACATTTAAATTTCATTGATTCAGATTAAACAGGCAGGTGACCTTAGCTTTGACAGAAGACAATCCGCAGTGAAGAAGCTAGGGAAATGAAGAGAGAGAACTCTTGTAATCTTTAATGAATCAATAAATTGTACAGGTTGTTGAACAATGTGGGACTGTTTGAAGCAGTGAACGATATGGCAGAATTCACAATGTGAAATCATTGAAATGGCAAAGAATGCAATTCTTTTATTTGTAGAGTTTTGTACTATGACAAAGCCATATATGAAAGCGCGGGCTGCTGAAGCAGCATCAGGTCGGTGACTGGTCTGGTCATTATGGTGGGAATCAAGGCATTACATCTAAATGGTGCGATGGTTCATTCAGAACGAATCAAGCTGATGCCAATATTGTACAACAAATGTTTTTTTATGCGTGTGTCGATGTGACATATCTGATGTGAGGCTACATCACCGGTGTCATTCCATTAGGTTTGACTCGTCATCGGAGCGATGGGGGAGGTCTATCTGATCCTCGTGAGACCTGCACGCTTGCATCAATCTCATACCCTTGTTAACGCAACAGATCTATTAATATTACATTATAAAAATGTTGATTATGAAAATGGATTTTTTCATTAATATCTGATTTTCACAAAATATTTTTCATGGAATATTTTAACCCAGTTTTGCTGTGTTTAGATGGTTTTATATCCATATCAACAAGAATTAAGTCATGCAAACTTTCATTTCTTTTTAATTTGCGGAGGACTCTATTGTCATAAAATGATGTATTATAAAAAATAACTTCTGTTTTTTTAAATCAACTTCCTGAGTATGTCCTCTGTGAATTCCTTAACATTTACTGTAGTTCCAATGTGATCTAGTTCCTGCAATCAAGTGGACTACACATAACACTAAAAAAATCAGGGATGGGCTTATTACAGGACAATAAAATAGCAAATGTTAAGTTTTCTATTGAATAGCAATAGATCTAGATATGGGTAGGCTTATCACAAACCATGGACTTATTACAAGGATAGATATAACAAAACAACTCATCTCTGTGATAACAGATTCAAAAGTCTCCAACTAAATGGGAAGCTAGCAAAAGAATCCAACTGGAAGATTCTTCACAAAAAGGCCACGTCTGGTAGCCAGTCTAGCAGTGCCCAGTATATATGATTGTCAGGCTCCTAGCTTGACAGTTCAACTATCCTCTGATCCAATTCAACTTTAATGTCTAGTCAGAGGAGATAATCATCCTTCTCCTCATGCCCCAAGGTTTACGCTGCCCCTTATCTAGACTATCAGTATCGCCAGTCGAAATGAGATACACAAAATTGTAGTTTCATTTTGAGGTGAGCTCATTGGACAAACTAAAGATTAGGGAGTTGTAATTGATAAAAATCTTAATGGATTAAAAAAAAAATGTTTTTTTTTTTTTTTTTTGTATTCAATCTGACCCAGAGTTGAAATTTGAATAGATTTCAGATTTTTTAATTGATAGAAATCTAAATGTGTTTGTCTGTTTTATGCGAATCATCTCCAATTTCCATTTAAACCAAAAACATAGTGAAAGGTTTGCCCTGTTATCTCACCATCCTTTCAATTTCCACTTAGGACCTAATTAGTCAATTGTGTTTCGAAAAAGAAAAACTATTTCGTAAAACATTTCTGCATGCAGAAATGCATTCACGCGTTCAACTCCAATAATTCTGCGTGAGGAGGAATTTTGAAATGAAAATATTTTTAAGCTATGACTTGATAAATTCTAAATTACAAACTATCTGTCATTATTGAATATTATATAATCTATACAAACCATGCCTCCTGGTGTCGAAAATTAGAACAGAAATAAAACATATTAAAAAACGGAATGATAAATTTGAATCGTTACATATTTCATATCCATGATTGCCTCACTGAGTGATTGAGGAACATGAAGTCGTGTGTTATCGCAGAAGGCCAATAAGGGAACATGGCTGCTTAGGCCAGTCAGATGTCTCATATGTAAGAGTTATTGAGATCATTAAAATTGGGGATGTCGAGGAAAAAACCCCACCTCTGCGACATAGTCGTTATGTGTGCATATGGAAATGATAAGATCTGCATCCAATAAATCACGTCTGCATGGAAGAATGAGAGAGAGAAAGACTGATAAAGGGTAATTAACGTGCCCAAAGCACCTGTCCCTCTCCCAGCGTTCACTGCTAATGTAATGTAGCAAGCCATTCTCAATCTCTGGCTTTCAAGTTGGCTTCTTTTTTATTTATTTATTTAAAAAAAAAATATTGATCTTTTTAAAAACATTATCTATCTGTGATGTGAAGATATTCAGCAAATATGGAACTGGTAGTATGCAGGGAAAATATGTAAGAAATTGACACTTCCATTACTTGTCGTCGTTTTCAGATAATTACTACTGACTTTTCAGAATGTGAGTCATTTATATGAACTCCAAACATATTACCAGTTTTTGTTCAAAAATAATTTCATGAATTTCTTGACATAGGGTTTCTTTTATAAACGTACTCATTTTAGCGTTAAATAAAATTCCATAGTATTTTGAAAGCATTAAATTATGATAACTGCTAAGTATAGAATAACTGTTCCTGCTTGTCATGGAAAGCTGTAACAATAAACCATGACGAAACTGAAGTATTTTCACTGGTGCATAGAAATAAGAGGGTATTGATGTCTAGGATATTGATGTCTACACAATTTTAGGGGTTTTAACAGGCTAATTGAGTACTTTATTGCACGAACAATTAACCAGTCAACATCAGGCAACAGGGACGTATATGTTACTAAAATGTTCCTGTTTTACGCAGAAGAGAATGAGTTAGATACATGTATACAATCATTGGCCGCTACACTGGAAATCTTGTGTCAGCAAGAAGGAATTTCCTTGCATCGATCCGTGAAATATGGATAAAACGTTCACAGTACATGTGTAACAATGGAAGTCAGAAAAGAACTGAAATGTCTTAAAATCTGATACGATAGTTTACATGGTAACATATTCCATACCTATGATTGGCTCAAGTGATTTAGCAAGATGTATTCTTGTGTAATCATAAGGTATGTGAAGGATCATGTCTGTACAAAACTGTCATGAATTTCTCATTTTAGCATATCGTACAGAGTAATAACAGGCTGTTTTAAGTGTAATCACGCCAACACATTTTTTATGCAATAGGTAGTCATGCGATTGTGACATTGCTAGTTACGATGGGACGATCCCTTCAATTTGTACTGATTTGCAAAAGTGATACAGGTTTTATTCATTTCTGTTTTCTGTCAAATCTTTAGGCAAACGTTTAATTCTGCATAGGTAAAAATCTTATGGTAACGAGGACATTTCCACTTTATCTGACTCTTAAGAAACTCACTGAAGCTTGTTTCATAAGAATCACATAAAGCGCTATTTATGACAAAGGACATCAATGTAGATAGGTTCAGCTTAAACCTCTAAGTCTCTTTTTAAATTTGAGTTGTAAATATTCAGGAAGTTATGAACTAGAAAATTTTGAATGTAGCAGAAAAAAACATTTTCTGTTAAAAAGACTAAAATTGTGAGTCTGTCCTGAAGTATAAGATGTTTTTGTCTCCCTTTGCTGGCCTCTCCTGTGTATGCACAGGAACAGCTGCACAGTTTAGTCTGTCATTACATAACTGTGAAAATGCAAAACGCATACTTGAGACACATAAATAAAGGCACTATTTGAATACAGCTGTTTTCAGGACACACTACAGTAGCGTTGGCTAAATACTCAAGTGTTCCGCCAAAACATCTTAACAGCCAATTAATCGGTGGCGTTAAACGCTGTACGCTGTAATAAGTGAAAAGTGCATTGAAGGGTTTTGATGCCTGCATAATTCATGTCTATAGCAGGCATTGATACTGTTGTATGTTGTTGTGTTCGGTGACATGAAAATCACGTCAAGTAAAGTTGGAAGACTCTTTACATAAATTTTTAATATCTATAACGTTGTTATATGTATTTGTTATCAATATGAAGAAAAAAACGCAAGCGTTACATTTCGTTTTTCATTTTTTCTGTTCCATCTTCTACCCAAGGCTTGCCCCTCTGGCTTAGAGCATATATATAACTTTGTTTCTCTGATAAAGTTCAAGAAAATATAGGATAGTGTCTATGTTGACTGTAGTGATATGATATAAATGAATTATGTTTTTAACTTTTAACACAGACTCAATCTTGCCCAACTTCCATGATAAATCTCAACCTATGAGTTTTCACATTGACTTTGTTACACTTGAAATCTTAAAGTTTCTTACACTTGAAATCTTGAAATTTTACTTTCACAATTTTACACTGAAAATTTCACATTGACTTTGTGTTTCTTGAGAATTCATATTGACTTTCTTATAATTATTAATTACAATTAAGATTTCACTTTGAAAATTTTACACGCAAAATTTTGCATTGACTTTGTTACACTTGAAATTTCAAATGAACTTTTCTGCATTTTAGACTTCACATTGACTTTATTAAACTCAAATATTCTTGAACTCTGAGATTTTTTATTCAAGAAGGGCTTTTGCGTTACCTAGACAACTGAGTATGTGTACCAAGGGGAGATAACTTGAATGACTGTGAACAGTAGTTTTATGTTTGGGAGGGAGGTTACCATCACATTCACAGAACTCAGGATAAATATCTCAAAGAAAATGAATTTTACATTTGAGTAGGAAAGATTGACAGCATAATTGAGGAAAGCAAGATCAACGTTCAATTAGAATTCAGGGAAAACACTTTTTATCTTTATAACTTCATAAGACAGACTTTTTTTTAAAAAAATCTACAATACTCTCTAAACAACTAAAATTAGTGTTTATCACTTTGACTTTGAAATTAACCTGATGACCTTGACATTTGTAGGCACACCCCTACTTGGGATCAATACCGACGTCCATGGCCTTCAACCCTTACGCCACCATAAACCAGGGCAATGTACAAACAGTGGCAGTGCCCGGGGGAGGGGATACCACCATGGTGACCAGCCCGCTCCAAGGAGTCTTACAAGCGATTCCCTCCCAACAGAAGATGGCATCCTCCCGGCCCGACAGATTAGAGGTAGGAGGAGCCCCTTACCCTCATAACCAGACACTCTACCAGATAACGTCTAGTCCTCTTTCATTTACATTGTCATAAAGAAGGATTGGCTCTGTTTTCACTCACAATTTTCTACCTGTATTACACACTCCTATCTCTAATGTCTTCTTTTAACCCTCTCACCCCTGACAACTACAGTCGACTCTGCCAGGACACTGGAGGATAAGTCCACTGTGGAATCAGGGGTCGCAGGGTTACAAATCTTTATATTGTGTGAGCCTATGTGTTTTTTATATTGATATTTTACTTGGTTTTGGAGTCCTATCATGACAATGAGATGGCTTACAACCATTTGTTTTAATGTCTGGCTGTGAAGTGTGGCCTCTATGGTTATATGTGTTACATTCTATGCGTTTTATATAGCTATGGTTGTTTTCACTTTGATGTGTAAGTATTTGCTATCATGAAAAAATGCACATTTGTTTCAATTTTAAAACCATGACACAACTTCAAAAGTAGAACTCTCTGAATCAATCTATTAGATATAGGCAGTTTTAAATGTGAATCTAATGAATTTCTTGTGATTTGATAATATACAAGGTATTACATGCGAATCATTATTGAAATAATTACATTTGGTAGGTATTCACAAATTTTGTTTTTGGTTATTATTTAGTAAATAATTATTAGGCATTATTTGTACACCATCAAGCCCGTCCCGACTCCATTTCCCAGAATTCCCCATTTTCAAACAATGACCAATAAATGACAAAACACGTGACAGCACCCCATCTTACCCTGCCAAAGACTGCATCAACATATGACCAAAGGGAAGTAACTCCTCCTAACCCTGCTGTAACCTATTAACAGTTCAACTCCTAGCACTCCTGTGATGGATTTTATAATCTGTAACTTATTATACATTTATACAACTGAATTGCATTTATCTCATTATTTTTTTTAAAAGTTTTTAATTTGTTTTATTTTTTTAACTTGGGGCTAGAAAATGAGAATGAACAATGCATTGTTATAAATATTTTGACATTTTTCACCACTCAGAAAAGATCTGGAAGTGAAGCTTATAATTAGAGAACTAGCTACACAAGTACTTGCAGTAGTGATATTTGAGACACGTATGTATAAAGTACAGTTTTTAGTAGGCTTGAAGGGGTGCTGCTTTCTTGACACAACATGATGAGTGTATGTCGTCCAAGTTCAGCGATCACCTTTACATGTATAATAACACTGTTGGACAGTTTCATCGGTTGAAGTTAAAACTCTCCAGATTATTCATGCTGTCTGTCAACTTCTACCGGTGAAATTGTTCAACAGATGACATTGATATTTATGTAAAGGAAAGGTCTGCGTTGGTTACCTGCTAAAATCATGTTTTGGATATTTATGAAAATTTATATTTAAAATTTAGAACATATATGCTGTTCAGATCAATGCTGGTTAGTTACCCAATATCCTGCAGTTTTATCTATGACCAAATTCATATTGACTTAGCAGGTCACTAGGCCTAATGGTTATCCTCAACAAATCTGCTGTCAGCCTATACACTAGTGAAGCTAAAACTCGGATCAGCAATGAAAAGCTAGACAGCTGTAACCCTGTAATTTGCATTTTTGGGGGTTTCTATGTGGTTTTATGGTAATAATAGGTGATATGTACTTGATGCTGAAGCTTAACCTCCAGCCAAGAAATCTAGTTTGTTGAACTTTGACTTTGAGTTTTAGCTTCAGAGTGAGGCTGATGTGTGGAGCTGTCGTGGGTAGTCATGCTGATCTTGGCCAACATCTTGTTAGACGCTTTCATAGTGTACAACGCAACCTAATATTCAATATTTACATGGCAATCGTACACAAGCTCCCAAAATCAGAATTATTGCCTGATCACTGTCGTCTAGAGGCTTGAAAGCTTCTTATATACACAGATTTGTCCTGCCGTCCTTGCCGATACTTTATAATGACCGTGTTATTTTTCTTTAGGCTGCATGTGGAGGCCATTGTGAAACCAACGCTGAATTGTGGCACACGTTCATCTAATTCATCTTATTTCAGAGACAGATAATCAGAATCTCAAACAAAAGGCTTTTATATCTATATGTTTATTTATTCTGTGTTTTTTTGTTTATTTAGTGTATGAAGGCACTAAAGGCATTTAATGAGATAATACCTATTGTGAATCTTCATAATGGGGTGAGAAGGGGGGGGGGGGGGGGGGGGGGGGGGGGCAACGTTAGCGGAGAATATCATTATTTACAGGATCCAAGTCAGGTTAAAATTCCTAATCTTTACTGCAGTACCAGATTACAGTTGTGCGAGATCTCGCTGCTAAAACTACATCACAACACGGGCTTATTATTTGTTCATTAAGAAAATATGTCATAATATCCAGGTCTAGGTTTGGAAACAACAAACAATTAAAGAGCTCTGGTCTTAACAGAGTTATCCACCATTACGAATTGAAAAAAACAACTTTCCCTCGGTTATCATGCTGACCTAAAACTATTGATGGTATGGTAATTCTGTATTTTGTTATATAATTCTTTGAAGCGTTAATTAAGTGAAATAAGATTGCGTTAGAATATGCAGAGTAAGAAACGGTTGTGAAATGGGTGCCGCCAGCAATGTCTAACTGGAACTGATAAATGTCTGGTCTTAATCCAACCTGAAACTGTTTACAGATTCTCAACCAGAACATCAAACTTCAACCTAGATAGTTGGAATTCCTCACCGATTACCATATGTATCAATTTAGAAACTATATATCAGACGGTAATTGTTTCATTCCTTTTCAAAAAAGTATGGATTTAAGTCACTTTCAGGTGCACCATTGTATTTACAACAGGGAATTTACCAATGAATTTTTTAAAAGTATGCATTCTTGACTAGGTTTTTAAAACAATTTTATAAACTATTCATTGGTAATCATTGCTGTACTTTCAGGCATGTTTGATCCCCAGTTTCTAGGAAGAAATAATTACTATTATTAACACTGAAGACGTTAATTATTTTGTGGTAAATGTATCTATGTTTATTTAATACAACACAACAATAATTTTCCAACTCTATTCTGTACAATCCATGTTGCTAACACTTTTTTCCGATTTTTTTTTCTTTTACTTTTTTTCTTCTTCTTTTTTCACTCTCTCTTCCCTTTTTTTCTGTCATACTCTGATTGTTTTCAGGTTTGTCGTGAATATCAAAGAGGTACTTGCACGCGACAACCTAGTGAGTGTCGCTATGCACACCCTCCAGATAATGTAACAGTCGACACGGCCGAGAATCAGGTCACTGTTTGTATGGACTTTGTAAAAGGAAAGTGTACACGGGATTCGTGTAAATATTTCCACCCACCTGCACACCTCCAGGCTCTGATCAAAGCCACCCAACAGCGATCTAACACCACTGCTGCTCAAGCTCAAGCTCTGGTAGGGTTTCTTCTCTTAGCTACCTCTCTCTAATTCCGCTTTATCGTCTTTTACTTTGAATTTAAATATTTATTAATTTTATTTTTTGTTCATTTTGTTGAAATAACAAACTTTCCTGCTTGATCTTTTTATTATTTAACAGTTATTTCTTATTTTGATGATCGTTTCAACTGACAGTTTTTTTGCTTGATTATTGTTATTTTTTCATCATTTTTTTCTGCTTTTTTGATTTTTGTTTAAATGTTTCGACTAAATTACCTAACATTTTGTTTTGAATTCCATTGTCTATATTGATTTGAAAATTTTCCTTAATTGTCATTTTAACTGATGAATGCAAAAACATTAAGGAATATTTTCTGTTAAAACCGATTCTGGAACACGGTCTTTGTCCTATATTATTATTTTTTCAATGCTTGTTTTATTCATTTTATTTATTTTATTTATTTCAAAGAGTCTTTAGTTCTAAAAGAATACATATATCTAAATTTGATTTTTTTTTTTATCTTATTTCAAAATTTTATAGAAAGAGAAGATTATTATATATCAAATTTTTTTATTTTTGCTGTTAAGAAATATTATTTTATTTCTATGCTACATGCATATTGCTAGACGTTCTATTCTGTTGTGCTATTCCTTTGTCATAAGATAGTGCCTCACCTTTGTTTAATTTCTATATCCTTCACATATCTTATTCCTTTCTTACCGATGTTCGTGCCAGAATAGTTCAATATAAACAAACAGCAGAAGGAAATTTAAATCAAAATCAATTTAGTGAATATATATTTATTTTTTTCAAGTTAAGAAAAAATATTAATGTTCATGTTTGAAAATAAACCAGATTTATTATTGTATTGTTTAAGAGAAGGCAATGTTAAAAAAAAGGATAAAAATAGAAGTTGATTTTCATAAATAAAATTCCTTCTGCAGTTATATTAATTAGTGAATTTGTTTGGTTTAAAAAAAAATCAAAAACTTAAAAAAAAGACTCCTATTTTGACATAAGGGAGTGAACTTATAAATAAGATTGGTGTGTCAAATGGATTTCAAGAAATGCATAAATGTATTTTCCTTCAAGTTTTTAATTTAATTTGTACACACCTAAAAATCGAAATTTGATCACAATCAGTATCAAAAAAACATTTTATCATACAAACTTGAATATTTATTGGTCTTCTGGTACATGTCTAGACCTGTCTGCAAAATTTGAAAAGAAAAGTAAAATTAGTATGTTATAATCAGAAGATAAAATGTGCAAAGGATTTCACCTTCATAGTCAACGTTTTTTTCTTGAAAAATCGCTGAAAATAATGCGAGGTATTTACCCAAATTTTTGAGTTTTTCTTATTCTTGCAGACTCCTTCACTAGACATATAAAGACCATTGTGCAGCTCTAGTACGCTTACCATGAGTCAGTGTACTAAGCTGATACTATATATCTGGCATGATCATGTATCGTTTTGCCTCAGTAGATGGTTTGTAACTCTGCGTCAATATTTCAGCCAATATTAACATGTTATAATGGGTCACTTCTACTTGTCCGCTGTAACCCACTTTGGCCCCTTGCTGAAAATTACTTCACCTCCTTTTTAAATGAACTTATTTCTTTGTACGGAAATTTGTTCATTTAAATCTACCAAATTACATCAGTTCTTTTAAATATTCCTATGTGAAAATTCCTTGATGTCAATTTTCCACCAAATTTCTTCCCTCCCTGTCAGATGCTATCATTGTGCTCCCAAATTTCACCATATTCAGCAGAATTTAAAAAATACAAAAAAACATATATCTTGCCTTCTTTAACCTTTCTATGTCCTTTGACCTTGACCTTTGAAGGTCAAGTGATGAGTACTGGTAATAGCGCTCTTGACTAGTTGTGCTGTCCTAGCAAAGTAGAAATCTATCTTGCTTTTTTTGTGTAAACTCTTGACTTAAATTAGAAGCAATATTATCAGATTAAAACTTTCTGTTCCCTTTATTCAAAATTCTTTGCTTTATAATGCTGCCACTTAACAGAAATTTCTGTTTCAATATAATTATTCTGAAGCAGCCTCCTAGATTTTTCGCTTGTCACTGTACTCCTTGCAAAAACCCTTTGTAATTTTCACACCACGAAACACGTGTACATTCTGCAGTTACATGTCATATGGTCTTAATTTTTCAAAAAAGAAAATTAAGCATATGATATTTTTTACAGATTTGGTAATTTTGTAAGGGAAAATCCTGAAAATTGAAGAAAACATTTTATTGTGGAGAGGAAAAAATCTTAACAAAAAAGAAATTTGTTTGATTCCGCTGTCAATACTGGAAATAAGAATTCTGTCTTTTCGTATTGCACAGTTATCTGCTCTTGTGAAAAGGTATTGATTGTTACATCATTAGTTTGCGTGAAAAAATTACGTTGTTTTCTCAAAAAATTATGACGTTACCCTCACAAACAAATGACGTAACAATCAATACCTGTCCCCAAGAGCAGATAACTCTGCAATACGAAAAGACGGAATACCAAAGTTGACTTATGCAAATCTCGACTGTTACAGACTAAAACATCCTTAATCCTTTGGCTTTCACCAGGGGGGTTATCCATGGCCAGGTCAGTGACTCAGAGCGTATCGCATGTCTGACAGTTGATTGGTTATTGCCTGGATACATAGCAGTTTTATTGGCTGTTTTTACTTATATGACGAAAAGGTCAACACGGGTATGTGCTTAGATGTGATTGGTCGAACCTGACACTTGGTGGAGAACCTAATACTGAGCGGGCCCGCGACTTGTATGTACAACAATGTGTTCTATATTTGTACTTTCACTTCTATGCCTTGTCATTTTATCATTATGCAATTGTGATTTGGTAAAAATGCTTTTCTGAAACCAAAAATCTCTGAGAGAAATATTTGAAATATTTTTGTATAAAATGTTTCAAAAATTGTTTTCTATATCTGTTTTAACCACTATTAAAACCGATATTTTCCGGTGAATTTAAAATGATGAAATATATCGCTATTCTCAACATTTTCTCATTTTCGACCAGTTTAACAGGGTGAACGAACAATGATTACACAGAAGTTTTTTCTGATATAGGAGCAATATACGTCATTTGTTCTGTCTCTAGCTGCCCTGCATAATGAACAACTATATAGTTAACAGAGATATCATCTGAAAGTGTCATAGAAATGTCACTCTATTCACTTCCTTGTTGAAATTTCTTCCAAATGTAACAAAACAAGAGATACATGTCTTTCTTATGATTGAAAAGAAAATACAAATGGAAAGGAGATATAATTTTCACATAGATCCAAATTTCTGGTTGTTAGGTAAATCTAGAAATAACAAATGAATCTAGATGCATTTTTCTGGACTATCGGTACCACCATGTGATCAGGTACTCTTCTGTCAAATGGCTACCATCTTCTTCTGGCTCAAAAACCACCTGCGTGATGCTGGAATGGCAAATTCAAGCACTTTGGATAAAGCTCTTTGTCTTTCAGATTGAATGGTCCGAGTTTGCTCACCTTTGTCACTATTCACGACTACGAAATGTTCACCTGATCACCTGTCACAATAAGCTATAACAAACTTGTTCTTTGACATTGCCTAACTATTATTCTACCTGACATTAACTGAATCCTGACATGTGTTATAGGCTAACTTACAGCGAATTTTCTTTTCTTTGAACCTGATTCTGTATTTTGACCAAAGATTTGCCAACACACCTCAAAAAGCCCAATCAGACACAGCGTACCATTTCAATCAAAGGAACATGAAGATAATTTTTATCGCCTTCATTTTTAAATCAGAAAAGCAATTTTACTTTTGTTTCATATGTTTTCTGCAATAAGCCATATATTTTTTTAACACTACAAGTGACTTTCTAAAAAAGTATAGAAGAATGACTAATTGCTGCTAATTCTAAGAATTAATTTTCATCTTATATCATAGACATTTAATATGAATGGCAACACAGATACCATTCTGTTTATGTAATGGTGTATAAAAGTTAATGGCTTATTGCAGAAATGTGTTGACACTAAGAAATGAAACTTTTGTGGTGATAATGAGTTCTTATTGTGGCTTTGATTTTCTAACCTCTTTGGAAAGCTAAAGTGTGCTACATCAACAGGAATTTTACCTCAAACAGGATAGATATCCAGCAATTCTTACTTGAAGACAATATCTGTGAAAAGATTTTATACAGGCTATTTTCATACTGGTTTCTAAACCAGGTGTAAATGTTTACTGGAACGAAAATTTTGGAAAAGTGAGAATTTGTTTTTTATTCTACAGTCATTCCAGTTTAACACTCATTCAGTTGAATAACTGATTTACCCTTTAATTTTGGCAAATTTTACTGTAATTAAAAAAAAAAAAAACTTTTTTTTTTACAGAATTACAGATATAATGGAAAATTCTTAGTAGCACTTAAGAAGTCATAATATATATGATATTAAGCGTGGTCACGGCTAGGGTTTATGGCTAAGAAAACTCTATTGCATGCCCCTTGTATTTATATACAGATGTATTTATTTGACGCTTGTGAGGGGTATCTGTGACGGTACTATTGACTTCGACAAGCATGATTTCGTGTAAGCTAGGCTATGTGAATGGTAGACTTGTAGAATCGTTTACTATGATGTTAGTAGATTGTACTAAACGCACTTGTCTTTTGTTTTGCAGCCTATATCTCACAACCAGTACCTACGTGGTTTTTCGTTTCAGCTCCTCAAGATTATACATATTACAAAAACTCACATTTTCGTATCATTTCTGTTTATTTCAGCGTTATAGTTTTCCTCCTTTACTCTCCTTCATCCACTCCTGGAGACAACCAATGGCTTTACACATCTCAACAGCAAACCCCAAAATCCCCCCCCCCTTTTTTTTTTCTTAAAATACAGTTAAAAAATGTTCAAATAAATCAAATGAAATACAATGAAGTATTTTTACCTTCTTATTTTTTGTGAATGTTTTTCCTTTTTTTTTTCCTTTTTTTTTCTTTTTTTTTTCTGTCAATAGAAAGTTTGTTGATTAAGGATTTTTTTGGGGGATTTTTGTTATAAATTACCGGTTAATTAATAATTCTCAATCAAAAGGAGAAACTTGATGTGAATATTTTGCATGCAATCTTTCCTGTATCAGAATATCACTATTTCTATGGCTAAAACGATATTTGTTAAAAGAGATAAGACCTAGAGATTAACCCACATAGACTAGTCAAAACTTTTGCACTTTCCTTGTGCTTCTAATAAAGAATCTACTCTATATTGTATATATATCTAATCACAGCTATGGTGTGAAAGTAACTAATCTTTGTCCATATATTTTTTGGAATATTTGTATTATATATTTTTATCAGAAATATTTATGCATATAAAATGCATGAATCTAAACAATCTCAGCTTTATATTTTGTTTTCTAATACAGATTTCTTATCTATTTCTTTATTTATTTTTATTTATTTATCTATTTTTTATTTATTTTTTATAACCTTATTATTTACTATAACTACTACTATCACCATTAATTCACAGTCTGTAAAGATCAAAATATATTGATGCATGTTGATTGAACTTTTTTTACCGATGGTGCTATTTCTTTTTTATTTTCATCTCCCATCATGCCTTGTTGCTGCTTGCTGTTGTCATGTGCTGCCATCCCTGCCATGCCGCCATTTCATTGGCCGATCGCCATGTGCTCTGCATACTAATTAGCCGCAAGTGGTTGAGGTCATTCCAGGCAAGAAGCGACCTCGTGACCATGCCGATGACTTCGTTCTGGTACTATATCCCATAAAGCTTTGCATGTAGCTGTAGTCTGCTTAAGGACAAACTTTGCACAGTCACATGACAGTCACATGACCATGTCACATGACAATGACGGCCCACCCCCCAGTTTCCAGTATTGTACCTACTATACAGAACTGTGTCGGGTAACATCTACAGCCTGTTTGTGACACTATCAGATTTGTTTTTTCTATGTACATAATAATCAGTTCAACACATGTCAAATTTGGATGATGTTTATTTGTGCAAATTTTGATGTATGTTGGACTTTGGACGGATTTCTTACCTATACATCACTTGTTTTGGTCTCACTTACTGCTGTGCAGTGCATGTTTGTATGGTACATATATCTACTACTCCTGTTAGTTTGGGAAATTTGCCTGACCTAGGACAAAAAATAACCCGTGAAACTACAGGAATTCTGTGGGTTTTGCTTTCCAAATCACTAAAATGCTTGTTTGGACTTTCTGTGATGTTAATTAGGTCGACTTCATGTCATGTGATTCTGCAAGTTACCAAAACGAAAAAAGAAGAAAACAAAAGAAAATTGATAAAGATAAAAAGACAACATTTTGATATATCATTGAATTTATCTCATACTGATTAATGCGGACCTTTCGGACTATAACTACATACATCTACACTGTAATCATTGGTGTAAAGCAATACAAAATTGATATATACAGTATCTACATGTCTTGTATGAAGCTTGTGTCTCACAAACTGTCGGTCTTGTAGAATGTATATAAACTCTTATTTAGATTTGCTTGTCAACTCTCTAGATGTGTAGTTCTTACATCACTTCTGGTGATTGTCTCCTTCTGAAAAATGCATCATGGGATTTGGGAATTATTTATCTAGACCGTTAACCTTTTGGTTTGACAGAAAAAAATATTCACACACAAAAATCGTATTTGAATGCAGTTTTTCTTTGGCCAGGGGATATGTTTGGTGTTATATTTTTTCCTTATTTTTTTGCAAATTTTCTCTGTATCTATAACAAATTTTATTATAATTGGCATGAACTTGGCTGAAAAGTCAAATATTTTCATCCTATTTTTGGTTTCAATTTTCACATGCTTATTTTCATTGCACTGGCCCTTATCCAACAGCCCTTTCTCACGAGGCAGTTTTTTCCTGATTTCCTCTAGCAGGGTGCATTACCTGGTGTGATACCCTACAAACGTGTAGCGGTTGCTGATGGCAAAAGTGGATTACCTATGTATCATCCCGGCGCAAACTTCGCCTACCAACAGGCGCTACAGGCCATGCAGTTACAACAGCAATATGTGCCAGCTACAAGTTGTAAGTATACCAACATTTTGCCTCTGTCATTTCTTAATTTTCAAGGTCACAGCTCCAGGTCAATCTTGTTGTCTCCGCAAGTTGTAAGTATGGTATTGTGTCCTGCATCCGAAGATAACCGATTTATTTTCTCTATCCACCTTTTTATACTCAAGGTTATCAGCATGTCAAATCAGCTTACATAGAATGGAATAGAAGGCTTTCGTTGTCAATAAACAGATGATGGCTTGATCATGTACAGGGCAATGGTCTTTCTATACAGGGCCAGCCTTACTGTACTATATCAGCCTCAAGTTAAATAGTACGTGTTTTCAGTTTCAGATATCAATAAAACATTAGTGTTAATGAACTTGCACTAATTTAAACTCAACTCGATTGAAGCATTACGTAACATCTAATTTCCCCATCTTTAAAAATCAAACATAAATAACTTAAAAATCAACATCAGCCCTACAATTTTTTTTTTTATTTTGTTATTGAGGTCAAGATCAGTGATTTGGCAATTTATTTCACATGCTCTTGGTGAAGGGTAACTACGCTTAATCCTTTTTTTTAGAACTCTCAGCACTTCGTTACTTTTAAGACTGCTGTTTCAATGATTTTTTTCTAATTTTTGAAAAAAAAAAAAAAAAATCTGTTATAAATACAAATGTGTAAATCTAAAAAATGTTACAAAATTCCGCTGCAGGAATTTATGTTAGAATTTTAATATTCTCTGAGTAAGCAGGAAAGATAACTCTACAAAACGTATGAGTTGTGTCCCTTTTGAACAGGCACCATCCATGTCTACTAAACTGTTTAGGTGTTTTAAATCTTAAGGAAGAATTTTATTTTTGAGAATTCAAAACCCCTGAAATATTAAAATGTTAACTGTTTCCCATTAGATTAGGATATCATTCGTATTTAATTCCTAATTTCCTAATTTTTTTCTGAAAAAACCTGTCTTAGAACAATATTATATTATAGTCAGAATTGGTGGTAATTCAAACATATAAAAGATAGGTTCTTGCAAAAGGGAATACAGACAATATATTAAATCAAAGTACTGAAGGTACTGAAAACTTAAAACTAATCAGATACAGCGTTGAGTTTAAATATTAAAAGCATTGTGACATCCTCTGAATGAAATCACTCTCATTCAACATAATTCACAAACATGGCATTATTATGATTGGTTTCTTTCAAATTTCTGCAATTTTTTGTTGTTTTAGTTTATATTTCAGGTAAGTTGATCTTTATTACCTCATCATTAATGAAATAAAAATATGTGAATATATGAACAACATTTAAAACTATGACAAAGCAGCTTTGGCTAAAAGTCTTTGGGAGAGGAAGTGGTTCAGGAGAGCATACATCAGGTATTTTTTGCATCAGCTACAAAGTTTTTATTTTATGCATTGAGCGCAAGAAATATTTGATCATATGTGTAGACAACAAACCGGAACTACACAGCTTTTAAGTAAAACCTGATGTATGCTTATAGTGCTATGATTTGGGGGATGAGAACTAGGAAACAAATTGAATAAAGACAGAAATGGGAAGCTTTAAGATATATTTAATGTGTAATTATTCAGACAGAGAAATGGTATAATTGGCAAAGTAGTAAATGGGTCATGACTTAATTGAAATAGTGATATTTTTAACAATATTTTCATGAAATAAAAAACATCCATAACCATTTGAGGGGTAAAAAATATTTTTGGCTGGGAGCTTAATTACGGGAGATTTTAAAGGCAAGGAGTAGAAGTCATGAATGTAAAGTGGTTTATGTTATTGGGGGGAAAACATAATTACAGAAAAAAAAAGTAATTAAAATGGGTAGATGGAGCTTATCTAGTAGAATAATCGTATTGCCTGAGTTTTCTTGCTTCTGTTCAGTTGACGGCCCTTCATTTTCTGTTCGGAACATTTCATTGTGATTGGCTAAAAATGGGTACGAAAATGAAGGGTGAATGCTACTGTCGCAGCTTGCAAATATGTACCTCTGCTAGCTATGTAATTAATACTTCATACCGAAGCAAGATAACTCACTGTAATTTCACAGTGATATTATCCACCTAAATACTGTTAATGTATATAAATTTAAATGGTCTATAGTTAGTGACAGCCTTAAATCAGTTATATTAAATCTACCATTTTTATTTACCATTAAAATCATATACAAATTAAGAGGAGTAAGTTATGTTTGAATCTCGAAATCTCTCTTTATCAATTTTCATCTGTAAGATCATATATAAATTCGAAGAACAAAAATGAAATATTGTCTTTGAATGTCGATTGAAGAGCTATCTGTAAGCAATGTAGAAATAAAAGAAAGGAAAATTCAATTTTAGATCTACTTTAACACTTGTAATTTTAATTTAAGACTGAAACACATAGTTTGGCAACCACTGTTCTATGACCTAAATTGTCACAAATCCACTGCATACACAGAAATTCATGCTTTATTGATTGTAGATTAATCTGTCACACTGTGATATGATATTAGGTAACGTAGATGATCTACTTAGGTTATTTCACATGCCCTGTATTTAAGTAGCTCACGGTACTGCCAAATGGATCAGACAAAACCATTCAGCTTTTTATGAGAGTTTATGTGTGAAATCACTGTAGCTTCTATCTGTAACACAAGGCAACATATTGAACTGTAAAAAGACTATAGGGAGAAGCAAGATTTAAGAGAAATATTTAAGGACTGACCTTCATTTTGACGGCATATACTGTAGTATGAACGCAGTTGGCAACAAATTTTCAAACATTATAGGACCAATAACAGAGGACAAACGGTACAGGACAAAATGTACAGAACAAACAAAACCAGACAAAATCAATTAACAGTACAAACAATAGAGTGTAAATAATATAATGCAGGAAAAACTTTATGGAACAAGAAGTATAAGACAAACAATACAAAGTTTATAGGACAAATAATGCAGGAAAAACTTTATGGAACAAAAAAATATAAGACGAATAATACAAAGTTTATAGGACAAATAATGCAGGAAAAACTTTATGGAACAAAAAAATATAAGATGAATAATACAAAGTTTATAGGACAAAAAATGCAGGAAAAACTTTATGGAACAAAAAAGTTTAAGACAAACAATACAAAGTTTATAGGACAAATAATGCAGAAGAAATTTTATGGAACAAAAAAATATAAGACAAACAATACAAATTTAAAAGACAAAAAATGCAAGACAAACTTTATGGGACAAAATATATAAGACAACTTTTCTGGACAACAAAATATAATGAACATTACAGGAAAAAAACATCCTTAAAACACTGCATGTTTTATATATGTCATAGGTTTAAAATGTGCAAGTACTTCAAATGATTTTATTGTATTTAGGACAGTTACTATAAGCTCGACACTAAATACCCTGTAAAACTCTGCTTCATGTAAAAGTTTGAACTAAATTGCAAATTCCAATTTTAAATTAGTTGCAAGCAAAATGTTAATGATCTAAACGACAGCTTCTATACAAATCTGCTTCCAAGTTAAAGCTTGATTGAATCTTTACCTATTGCTATATACTTTGTCCTGTGATGCGTTTGTATATGACGTTTTAAATAGTGTCCGATTTGTCGACCTTCTATGTTCCTTGTACATATATCTAAGTTGTGTCGATCATTCGGATTGTCTACAAACAGCTGTCCTCATATAATCTATGATTTGCTGTAGTGTTACTCCGTCTTACTGATGTTTAAGAGATATTTATCGTTTTTTCTTAACTCTTTATTTTATATTTCTCAAAATTTTAATCAAGACAATTCAATACAGTAAGCCAGCTCTTACCTACGTAACAAAGCCCTCTGATATAGAACTAGTTATCACCATGTTTACCTAGTGATTTCATGGACACCAAATTTATCTTGTATTTGTAATCTTACCATTAATGAGTTCTTATTGTGTTTATGTCAAATTTGCATCAAGGCAGATAAAATCTCTATAATGTCTAAAACTTGTGTAGGAAGTAATGCCATATCTAGGGATTGGCACAGCCTGAAGCTATAGGATTACCCTGGACCTCCTGTTTCTATAAGTTACACAAAGTAATCTTAATAAAAAGTAAGTTAGCAGTTTTGTTTTCTCCTTAAAGCTCAATAAAAAGAGGCGGACAATCTGTGTCCCCCTAGCCTTGCCCAACCTTAATACACTACTGCCTCCCCTCCCCTAGCCTTTCCCCACCTAAATACAATACTCCCTCCCCTAGCCATGCCCCACCTTAATACACTATGTACTCCCTCCTAGCTAACATCAAGTCAATTTCCTATGTACTAATACACTACTTCTTACTCTAGCCTTTCCCCACCTAAATACAATACTCCCTCACCTAGCCATGCCCCACCTTAATACACTATGTACTCCCTCCTAGCTAACATCAAGTCAATTTCCTATGTACTAATACACTACTTCTTACTCTAGCCTTTCCCCACCTTAATACATTACTCCCTCCCCTAGCCTTCCCCACCTTAATACACTACTCCATCCCCTAGCCTTTCCCCACCTTAATACACTACTCCCCCTCCCCTCCCCTAACCTTTCCCACCTTAATACACTACTCCCTCCCCTAGCCTTTCCCCACCTTAATACACTACTCCCTCCCCTAGCCTTTTCCCACCTTAATACACTACTCCCTCCCCTAGCCTTTCCCCACCTTAATACACTACTCCCTCCCCTAGCCTTTCCCCACCTTAATACACTACTCCCTCCCCTAGCCTTTCCCCACCTTAATACACTACTCCCTCCCCTAGCCTTTTCCCACCTTAATACACTACTCCCTCCCCTAGCCTTTCCACACCTTAATACACTACTCCCTCCCCTAGCCTTTCCCCACCTTAATACACTTCTCCCTCCCCTAGCCTTTCCCCACCTTAATACACTACTCCCTCCCCTAGCCTTTCCCCACCTTAATACACTACTCATCCCCTAGCCTTTCCCCACCTTAATACACTACTCCCTCCCCTAGCCTTCCTCCACCTTAATACACTACCCCCTCCCGTATATCTAGCTAACATCATGTCAATGTCCTATGTAAAAGTCCTCTGTAATGTCACACTTCAATGTCTCACACCATGTTAGACATTCTGTCCCTCCATATATAACCACTCTCATGAGAATGTTCATTCCTGGCTGCCTATGATCATTGGCTGTCTGTCATCGGCTGTACAGCGGCTTCTTGTGTATGATACGCATACATCAGCATTTGCTATGACTTGTGTTTGTTGATTTCTGTTCATTGTTTACAGTGCATTAATTGATCACCTTATATTACAGCTGAACTTGTATGTTTACTAGAACAGCAATGATATTTCATCTTCGAGATTTTGGAATGATTTCGATAAAAAGACCAATCTTGTTCTCATGGGTCATTTTCAGTTCTATCAGCTGGCCATTAAGATTATTTTTGTGTATGCAAAATTTACTTTGGATTCTACAAGTTGAATTTTACTTTACTTTTTCACATAATATTTTTTTTTACGTCTCGAATCAACAAAATGTAACTTACCATTAAATTCACGGGTGGATATTCTCTGTTTAATTAACTGTCTAAACAGGACGATTTACTCAGACAATTGTTTTCATGGCTAATCAAATTTCATGTCAAAATAATGACACATAAAGTACTTTTTTTATATCAGTGGAATCCCAGAATTTCAACTCAACGAAAAAAATCCATTTAAAAATGTGATCCATCAAAGTAAGAATAATAATATTTTTCATGAATTTATTTTATTTTCTGTTTGCCTCGTCATTTAAAGTCCTAAATATCTACTTTTGATCATTTCTAAAAATGACATTTTGGAGCAATTCTATTTTTTTCTGTAAAAGTCTGCAGTTGCTGCTGTTAAGTCTGTGAAATTGATCAGTCGGTGTAAACCAGATCAGATAGAGGATTAGAATTATCAAGTTTGTAATAACATGGTCTTATTTAGCATAACAATTCTATTAATTTCCAGGACAATCATTGAGAAACCCATCATTATTAATCACGCAGGCGATTAATCTAACTTGTAGGAAAATGAAAATACTGGGATGAGCAGTTATTCAAAACAAATTTCCAAAAAAACAAAATTAAATTCTGATTCAAGATCTGAATCGGAATATTTGAAATATTGTCAAAACCTTGTCTTATGAAAATGAGAACATTACAAATGTTTTCAACTTTTTCAACCATGTCCATACTTGGCCATTTTGGGTAAAATTGGCCCCTAAAAATGAAGAAATTATTGGAATTCAAACAATTACATGTACCAGAATCAATACTGTTATCAACTCATTTATAATGTCATTTGTTTTCAAATTTATTTCACGATTTTATCAGAATCACAAGAGATATGACACAGAGTACAAAATGTTCCCTGTCTTCAAGGATTGGTCTTTTTCCCAACTGTGTTGGACGGTTAATGCATTTTATTGAAGCATGTTTGCCCTTTGCTTTTGTAGAATATTTTGTCCATCTGTCTGAAATGCTTTCTGTTATGTTCATTCAGTTGATTTAAAATTTCATTATTCATCTTTTGTTTTGGAAAAATCAAATTAGATTTCATGGAAAAAGCTACATTCCCAGGAAAAAAAGTTATGTAGGATTGAAGAAAAAGTACAATGAACACATAAACAAATGTTCACTACATTAAAAAGGAAAAAAAGTAAATAACAACGTGGTGTCCATTGTTGAATGTCCAGTCAGCTGACAGAGTTAATACCAGACTTTGATTTAACTTACTTTCAAGTGCATAAACATTCAAAAGTAAAAGGGCAGGTTGTATGAAAGTTTAAAAAAGTTTGTAAATGTTCACATATTTCTCTGCATTTTAAACATGTGTGTACATTACCTTTTAGCCTTATCAGGCCTTGAACAACCGCTTGGGTGGTTTTTTCAATAAGAAAGTTTAAATATAAAAAGCTGTATTTTTCTGTAAAAAAAAAATTCAATATCATTTAACTTTTTAATTTGGCTGGAATCTTTTTTCATCATCTGTGATTTTGACACATTCAAACTATTAAATTTGACTGTATTTGGCTGAAACAAATAAGCATATTGGAAATTAACTAGATAACTAATGATATTGAATTATTGTATAGATTGATTAAAAAAGTATTGGAGAGTTTGTTTATAAATTTTAACAAATTATCAAAAAGCCAATCTATGCAGTGAAACTTGTCTATTCTGACACCCTGTGGAACACAACATATTGGTCAGATTAACCTGTCTAATCTGACAACCTGTGGGACATGTTACATTGTTCAGAATACACAGGTTTTATTCTGTTTTCTTTACAAGTGGTATTTCAGCATTATGTTCAACACAATGTCAGGATTACAAAGTGTGTCACAATATTCAGGGGTTAGATTGGACAGGTTTCCCTGTAAATGACCTTTTATGGTTTATACTACACAGATTATGTTTGTCTACTATAAAGCCATCACTGTTAGTAGGTTGTCACGGTCTGGGATGTAGCTTTGCATGATATCTTCAATGTTCTAAATGAAATATTAAAAATACAACAATAAATACCAGATAGGAGAAGAATGTCTTCATTTATTTCCATTGTTTAAAAGATTATAGGTTACCAAAAGCTTTTGTAAAATACTTAAATTCAGCTTTCAAACCAGGAGAAAAATGTGGGTTTTTTTCTGTGATGATTTCCTGAACGTATTTTCCAACTGCTCTTGATTTCAAGTTTTGCCATGTACGCCCACGTACATGAGATCACGTAGTAGAATAACAATTTGATGTGTTATAAGAGAGATTGAAAATGGCCACTTTTGATTTCCCAGATACAAATAAAAGTGGCATTCCAGTTCCTACCCAGATATCACAGTCAAGTCCCCTGCAGCAGGCCATGCAGATTCCCCAGCAGCATCTAGTTCCAGTAACACGTGAGTGCGATGCTAAATTTAGGCCGCTGTCATCACGGATTTAAGTTGGTTTCAACCATTCTTGTCAATCACTCTTTAATTCTGTTTTTATCTATCCTTTGAAATAACACTTATTAATCACTCTATAGTTGGGGAAGGAAAACAAAGAAATTATAACAAAATTGAGAAAAGAGAAATTGTCAAATGTTTAGGTAGACAGTTCGAAAATACTGTATTTGTCATATGATAAGCCCAGAATGAGCACTAAAGTCACTTACTTGTGAAATTGGGCCAAATGTGTCGATGAATACAGACCCATACTTTTCTATAGACCGCTGCACTGGGCTTTTCATAGGGGAATATGGTACAGTGCTGCTTTTGGGGTAATTACTAATACACAAGTTTACTGCAGCAAGGGAGCTAAAACTTGCTATAGTAAATTTTCCATATTCTTGCACTTAGCCATCTCCTGATCTGCTTTCCCTATAGTCCACAATGGGCTGTCTTTTTAGATGAATGAAGGGGGATATCCCATTGAGGTTTACAGGGTGATCAGGTTGGGTAGATCACCCTCAATAATTCTTACACATCTTTAGGCTTTCCAAGCACTGAAGGCATTACATACTAATCTGTGTAGCCATCTTTCTTTTTATTATCATAAAATTGATATAATTTTTATTTCCAAAAAATGATATTGTTGTCTTTTTTTTTTTTTTTTCTTTTTTTTCGCATGATCTAATTTGTTTACAAACCACATGTTTGAAGTTTGGATGCAAGAATATTGTATTATATTGAATATCAGTGTATGATATATGTTTTGAATGTATGTAGTAAACCTTGCTTATTGTATATATAATATTCTATATTGTGCTCATACTTTTTCGTCTCTGTCAGTGCTGTCTGACATGTCAGAATGTGTCGAGGAGGGAGAAATGTCAGATTAAAACTAATTGGCAATGGATTTGTCCTACAGGCATCTTATTATAGATTCGCTATGGCAAAAGGTCAAAAGTTGACAAACTAGCAAGACATTTTGGCAAAATTTCAACACATGAAATAGATTGTCTGTCTATAAAAGGACAAATGTCATCCAATCACAAAAATGGACAGTTCAGTAGGAAAAGCGAGATAAGCCAATCACAAGCCAGTCAGAATGTAAGGAATTGTGCAGTTAAAATTTACATTGAAACACATGAGTTGACCAATCACAGACTTGTTTTAAAGGTCAAAATTGACCTATCAAAAATCGATGGGAAGGTCATTAAAGGAATTAGCCAATCAAAAATCATATCGGAAAGACGAAATACAAATTGATCCATCACAAATTAATTTGAAAGTCTGCAATCGACTAATTAAAAATCAATATGAAGATCAGAATAGGAATTGTCCATTCACCAATCAGTTTGGAAGACTGAAATGGACCGAAAGATTACTGAGAAAAGTTGCTTCTTAATCAGGACAGAGAAAAACAGTATTTTTAAGATTACCAAGATAGGAAATGATACTTCTCGCTGACAGAGTTGAGCACTGACAGAGGCGGAGTGTTAAATGTAACTGTTATTGCATCATGGCATGGTATCACAACATTAATGGGTACAGGTTAGGATGCTGGTAATGGCTAACCCAGGACATAACGTTATTTAGTCATGTTATTAATACTCCATTCTTCATCTTCCTTAAACAGTAACTGGTAATGCAAGTCATAAGTTTGGTTGCCTGGGTTTTTCTTTTGTTTGTTGTTTTGTTTATTAGATTGCAGCACATGCAAATATGTATCTGGTTTGCATATTATGATTTTGTAGCCATTTAACATGCATTTGACCTCATTAGCAGACTGTGACCTTTGCTTTAATATTTTAAGCTGAGATAATAAATAGACAATAAATAAAGGCTAAAAAATATTAGGAAGTAGAGGGGAGACATTCATTAAAACAGATAATGATGTCACTAAGGGGATAACTTGGTCAACAAGGGGGATTGGGGAAGTCACAATGGTTATAGTGACATAAATTAGGTCATCTGGAAGTATTGATAAATCACCCAGCAGATTAATCAGGCAAAAAGAGGTGTAAAATAGTCAACTAAAGGTGATAATTAGTAATCTAGGGGTGCTAATTAGCCAACTAGGGTTTGTTATTTAGTCAACTACTGGCACACATTATGTCATGTCGGGTGTCCCAGTGGTATAAGATCATCTGCCTGATCACATGGGTTTTTCTCTTGGTGCTCCAGTTTCCTCCACATTAAGACCCATTGCATGCTTCTAGCCAGGTTAACAAGAGAGATTAATATAAGTCAGATAAAGTTTCTTTAATGAATGTAGTTTATAGATTTAGAGCAACTTGGGATGCTATGTAAGTCAGCTAAAGGAATTAAATGTAACTCATTCACCCCTGAAATTTCTTAATGAACTATTCCAAGCTTTGTATCAGAAGAGTTCAAATGTGTGTTCAGGGATGAATGAGTTAACAAGGTCAATTTTAGACATTGATCAGGTCAACTTGGTAACTGATATGGTCAGTTAGGAACAGAATTAGGTCACAAACGGATGTTACTGAGGTCAAATGCATCATTAACAAACCTGTATATTATTTTTTTGGCATTTCAGCACAATTAACCCATTATTAATTTGTTTTATACTTTTTGTTGTTTCATTTCTTTCATGCTCTAACTCCTGTGTGCTTTTAATTTGCTTTGGTCACCTGCATGTGGTGTTCGAATGCTTCAACAACATCTGCACAATAACTGGTCCCCTTATTGTTGCCATGACAACACAATGCCAGCAGTGCCATTGGTTGTCTCCCCTGAAGCTGCTGCATCCACAGCTATGGTGACGGCACCAAATGGCGTACCACCTAGTAACGTCTATACCGTAAATTACTTTGACAGCAACCAACAGGTAGAGTGCTCCATAGTTACCATAACAACTGCTCATGTTTTTGGTAGTTTATGTATCATAGATACATTTAGAACAAAAGAGTGAAATAGCAACAATATTTATAAGTTTTAATGTTGCTTTAGTGAGATGTTTGATGTAATTGGATTGCAACAACTATTATGAGTTTTATTAAGGCAAGTAGAAGAACATCAATGAGGGTTTTAGTCATTTAAAGATACTTACAATACAGTTGTATAAACTACATAGTCATACATCATGCTGTTAATACATACAAGAACGATTTGTTAGAGGTTGCATTTATTACTTAGATAAATAATAAAACTTTCAACAAATGATATGCATGAGGACATGAAATTGACTGATTTGTTTTGGTTGAGTGTTTGGCCCTGTAAGAGCGGTTCCAGTTTAGGGTGAGGACAACCTATGTAAGACCAGTCTGTCTAGCTTTGAGGCAGATATACTAGCTAGTCCACATCCCTCCCAGTGCACCTGTAGTGAAAGGATGACCTTTGTCTCTCCTCTCTGTCAGCCAGTAGCTTCTTAACCAGCAGGTCAAATCAATCTATCCCACAATTGTTTTTTAACTGTTCAGAAAATCTTCACAGTGATTAAATGATAATCCAATATTGATGGCGCTACCACAATGTTCACTTTTCTTGATAGCTACTTCAGTGTCCAACCATATCACCACTCGTTTCGATCGTCAACGAGGCAACACTAAGCCCACCTTCATTAAACTGAATGTGTTTTGCTTTCCTGTCAGAGGGCGTTATTTTTGTAACTGGCTGGTTATTCTTTTAAAACAAATGATTGGTTTATTGGTATAAAAGCATTCCAAATATGTGAAATCAATATTATTCTGTGGAGTCAATTCAATTTTTTGTAGACAATATCGTCATGCAGAGTCGTTTGAATTCTATGTAATCAATTAAGCAATATGGAATCAATAGAATAATGTTGAGTCGGTGAAATTGTGTTGAGTACTGGTTGAAATAGTTTGTATGGAGTGAATTTATCGCGAGTTGGTATAGTCAGTGAAATAATATTGAGTCAATGTTTAATGGTTTATATGGAGTTAATGTGTAATAGATTGGTGTAGGGCAAAGTGTTATGGATTTGCATTATGTCAGTGGGTAATGTGGAATCAATATGTCAACAATTGGTATGGAGTCAATGTTTTGAAGTCAATGGTTGATATGGAGTCAATGTTTTTATGTCTTTGGTTGGTAAGGAGTCAATGTTTTTATGTCTTTGGTTGATAAGGAGTCAATGGTTGGTAAGGAGTCAATGGTTGGTATGGAGTCAATGGTTGGTATGGAGNAAAATTGGTCTAGGAATGATCAGCTCATGGTCCTGACAAAGTTAAGTTAACATTATACTATTTTTTACTCAAATTGGTACATATTTCAACAACAAAAATAAATACTATAGACTCAGGTGACCGTTAAGGCCCATGGGCCTCTTGTTATGTAAATGGTTGGTATGGAGTCAATTGTTGGTATAGAGTCTCTGTTTTATGTCTTTGGTTGGTATGGAGTTCATATTTTTATGTCTTTGGTTGGTATAGAGTTCATATTTTAATGTAAATGGTTGGTATGGAGTCAATGCTATTATGTAAATGGTTGGTATGGAGTCAATTCTTTTATGTAAATGGTTGGTATGGAGTAAATACTATTATGTAAATGGTTGGTAGGGATTCAATGCTATTATGTAAATGGTTGGTAGGGATTCAATGCTATTATGTAAACGGTTGGGATGGAGTCAATGCTATTATGTCATTGGGTGGTATGGAGTTAATGCTATTATGTAAATGGTTTGGATTGAGTCAATGCTATTATGTAAATCGTTGGTATGGAGTCAATGCTATTATGTAAATGGTTTGTATTGAGTCAATGCTATTATGTAAATCGTTGGTATGGAGTCAATGCTATTATGTAAATGGTTGGTATGGAGTCAATGCTATTATGTAAACGGTTCGTATGGAGTCAATGCTATTATGTAAATGGTTGGGATGGAGTCAATGATATTATGTCGTTGGTTGGTATGAAGTCAATTCTATTATGTAAATGGCTGGTATGGAGTCAATGCTATTATGGTTGGTATGGAGTCAATGCTATTATGTAAATGGTTGGTATGGATTCAATGCTATTATGTAAATGGTTGGTATGGAGTCAATGCTTTTATGTAAATGGCTGGTGTGGAGTCAATGCTATTATGGTTGGTATGGAGTCAATGATATTATGGTTGATATGGAGTCAATGCTATTATGTAAATGGTTGGTATGGAGTCAATTCTATTATGTAAATGGCTGGTATGGAGGTAATTTTTTCATTTCAATGGTTGGTTTGGAGGTAATTCTATCCTGACAAGAGATCACTTGATGTTATTATGTCAAATTGTGGAAGTAATGATATTTCATTTAAGAGCTGGTTGGAAGTCTGTGTAATTAAACGAAAGTGTGAAGCTTCAACATTACTGGTATTGTGTTCTCGGAAGAATTGGCTAGAAAGCAAATAACATAACATGTTGCTTTTCCCGCTTTAAATAATGAAATAATTTTTGAATAGAGTAATAAGGCTGTGTAAAGAAATTTAGTTTTTGTCAGGAAGGAGAAAAAGATAACTTATCTGTATTACTAAATCAAGTATTAATTAATGTCATAATATTACTAATACCTTGTAGATTTATTAATTAATGCTTTTACTCAAATAATAATAATAAATAATAAAGCTGTTTAGAGCTAGTCTAAATGGAACCTTAAATGTGCCAATCCTCCCTACTTATCATAAGCTTGACGTTTTTAAAACCTCTTTTTCACTTGTATCAAGTCTGTCTGCAACAATTTTAGCAGAGATCCAGTTTCACTACACAAAGCTTCTATGGTGTATTCATTACTGAAAAAACACTGATTATTGTAATTAACCAATCAAATTATGTGTACCATATACATATTTGTCCCTGTTTTCTCAACAGTAAAGTTGATTTGATTGGCTGTTGTACTTTTAGTTGCTGGACACCCTCCCAGTTTGCCGAGATTTTAAGTTGGGCCGGTGTACAAGGCCTGAATGCAAGAGTGTGCATATAATGGAGGGTAAGTAACTTAAGGGTCACTGGAGTCATGGTCACTCTCAAGGTCACCAAATGTCACATATAGGTCATATATTACAAATGACAGCTGCAGGTAACATCAGGGTCACGGTCACCAAACCAAATGTCTTGTATGAAAAGTCATACTTTACATTTTCTGAGGCAAGTCATAACAAGGCCAAGGTCACTGAGTCAAGGTTACCAAATATCATGTAAACCTAGCAATTTTTCGTCAGGTCTCAGCAGCACCTAATAGTACTTGGGTCAAGGTAATCAAATATTACAAAAACTACTGGCATGGGGCAGGTTTCAATTGATAGCCAAATGTCACTGCAAAGGATCCTGATCACCATCAATGTCACCAAATGTCACAGAAACATCATACTCTACAAATGTTAGGTGCATGTAACCGAAGGATCAGCATGTCCTTAAAATGACCTTACCTGTTGAAAGGACAGTAAACCCTATATGACAAACAATCCCAAGGATCAGGGTCAACATATATCACTATGAGCACGGTCTTGTGTATCATAAAGGTCATACCATACAGAATTAAGTTGTTTGTAAATTTTGGATTTTTGTTTTCTCTCTATATATAAATCTGCTGTGGTTCTAAAGATTGATCAAAACACAAATACCTGTTACAGTATTTATTGAGTTCAAGTCAGAGTTATGAGTCAACTTTACAATATCAAGCCTGGCACTATCTTAGGAAAGTGCACTTTTGTGTTCATGCTTATTTCAGCCTTAATGTGTGTGTATACATACAGATTTGTATATAAAAATCATTTATCATTACTTCCCGTTTTATTTCAGATTATGTTGAAGTGAAGGACGGACGGGCGGCAGTGTGTCGAGACGCAGTACGTGGAAAGTGTACGCGTGCGATGTGTAAATACTACCACATCCCAGTACCACTTCCTCCTTCCAAGTAACCAGGGCCACATTGCATCATGATTCTTTTTCATTTAGTTGCCATGACAACCAGGAGGAAAAAAAACGTGGGTCAGTGCGTTCTCAATATATGTTTGATTTGTTTTTAATACAAATGGATTTTACGTGTTTGTATTTCACAAAGTTTTACAAGGATTATTATATAGGTGTGTGTGGACAGAAATCGCGGGGACGATCCATACACAGTATAACTGATGTTATAACAGTGATCTTGAAATCGTAGACTTTGACCTTGTATTCTTCCTTGCCAATGGATTTTTCTACAAATGATTCCTGCCCAAGGGATCATGGTGCTATGGAAATGAATCCGCGAAAGGAATCCGGTGATGACCTTTTCTCTGACCTTGACAATGACCTTGACCTGTGTATAAAATGTGAAGGAATCATAGTATATTGATTGTGTGAGAATTGTGCAAGGCCTGTTGTCAGGTTATTCAACAACAAATTCAAGGAGTTAGTGGCAAGAACGTACTTGCAGCAAAGGAGATGGAAAAGTCGTCAAAAAAAAAGGATAATGCATTTTTTTTCCAGATTTCGGAAATTTCAATTTTTATTTACATTCAAGTGATAGAGTATACAACAAAAAAGAAAAGATTTTACTTGTAAAAGATATTCTCCACAATATTGAATATTGCTCAAATATTTTTGTTGTTTGATCCTTTTCATCAAAGAAAAACCTTGTTATATGATAACGTAAGTCAATTTAAAAAAATTCCCTAGTTGCTAGGCGATAAAATAACCTTGATAAACTACGCAACTAATTTTTTAGCCTAATTTTAATTTTTGAAATTTGGGCGTTAGTTATGGATTGATTTGTATCATTTTTAAAAAGAATCCTTGCTTAGCCTGCCATTTCCTTGCTGTTTTTCCCCCATAATGCTATATACAATATGGCGACCCGGAGTGAAGCCCTGCTAGCCTTTGAGAGTTTTAAGCAGCTATGATTTTGAAGTGTTTATTTTGTACCTATGGAGATGCACGTCGCACACATGACGAGAGAATACTGCGTTTGATATGTATAGATTACATTGTTTTACACGTACTTGCATGACTGTGAGAGGAACAGTGGGGAATTGTGACACATTTTAACAGCAGAGTTATGTCCCTTGGTCACTTCAACATGGTACTCGGTAAACCTAGATGTGTAGAGGGGGAATGGTTCTATGTTTTTTAATGTACAGTATTTTCTTTTTCCGTTAGGCCTAAATATCCAGTTTGCCTACTGGTAGGTTGATGCTACAAGGCCAGTGATTGGTCAAACCTGATGGATCAATATGCTCTGGATTTGGTCATTGGTCGATACCTTGTATCTGATTAGCAAGACTTTTCCAATTAGAGAGCTTGAGACCAGGTTTTTGTAGATCATCTGAATGCCAAATACAAGGCGGATAGCAAATTTCACAAGCTGAACAAGAAGGATCATTTCCCCTTTACACAGAAACCCGTTTTTTGAAACGTTTGTGTACCTGATGATGTTTGTTATAACTGTAATTTTTTAGTTAAGATACTGTTGTAAATTATATATTTTGATGAAAAAGGTGCAATTTCTTCTACAAGGTGCACACTAAACTAATTTGTTATAATGAACAATTGTTTGTTTGTTTTTTTGTATTTTTTTTTTCAAAACTGTGCCATAAATTTTTCTCTGCTGATGATGGTAGGGAAACAGTATGTATGCCCTTCTGTGCTGAAGGTCACCGCCACTGTTCAATAATATCTGTTTGACTGTTTCAAGATTTGTATGTATAAAAAGACCTGAACTAAGGTCACGTGTTCCAAGCATTTAATGTTCATATTTTAATTAATCTAAAATAAACCATTGTTAGTGACATTTGTTAGATTAAATTTATTAACAAGATGTAGCTGGTAACCATGGTTACATCTTTTGATTGAAGTACGATTCATCAAACGAGAAATTGTCACAAATTCTAAGTTACAAGAATGAGTGTTAACAAAACCAATCATTATTTTGACTGGACAAAGGCTTTTTGTTCATACAATTCCTTATGTGTACAATATTTTTCTTATATATTAGAGTATCATTATCGGTGGTAGTTATATAAGTAGTATTTAACCTTTCTTCCCCACTTACATAATGGTACCACCCTGTGACCCAGCTTCTCTATTAGATCCCCTGTTCCACTTATGGGGAGAGTCCAATAAGAAAGTTGGGGTTTGACAGGGCGGCCATTCTCGACTTTGTTTTTGAGAGACAAACGATGTAGCCTTAACTGTTATATGTATGTGATTTTGAACTAGACATGTTGTTACGACCATTTTGATTGGTCAATTAAGCATGCCATGTGACTGAATATATCCAATTAGCACAAATGTCATTTTTTTGGTGGATTATCATACCATATTTGGAGTGAGATGCATGTCGAGTGGATCAGAGGGTGTTAAGTGGACTGTTATAGAATTTGTGTATATATATTTTACATGTCTCAAATTGAAGAAAAACCAAATATGTTTACTTCATCTGTTTGAATGTCTACATATCACTGTCCATGTCATGTACCGATTCATTGCCCTGAAACGGGAGATGATTTCGGCTGAGAAAGCCAGACCTTTAAAACAGGTGATGGGAAAGGTCATACAAATGCAGAGTTCTAATTCTAGATATTTTGGGAAATATATCAGCATTAATGTAAACTTTCAGACCTATCGCTTCATTACTGTGATGTACTGAACGTCCAACAACAAAACTTCCTACTTGCTGTTGTAATTAGATGTAAACCTCTTCTTAACCCCATTTTTGATACACCACTATCTAAATAACAATGTTTGTTTCGGTTACTATGAAATTTTGTACACTTTGTCCTTTGACCTTTGACCTTTCCCATTCGGTTATAGGTTTCGATCTGTTGGTAGCATTGAAAATATTGAACCCATCATTTCTTCCAAAATGTGATTAAATTCAATAATTAAATATGCAAGAAAGACTATTTTTTCCAACAAATTTTTCAAATTTTTGAGAATTAAATTCTCGCCTTTTGGGCTATTTTTATCTCTTTTAATTTTTTTCGTTTCTTTTACTCAGTGGATTTTGATATGCGATTTGTATTTTCTCATTTCGTTCTATATATATTGTTTGATAGACTATGACATAGCATAATAGCGTATTCGGCTCGTCCCGTTCCACTGCTACACACGTTTTATAATGTTGCAGCCACAGTACAATGAAAATGTCAAAGTTATCCAATCTGTTTGCTCTCGTTCTCTTTAATATATTCTTTTTATTGGACAAAACCTGTTAGAGGGATATTTTTGGTTAATTGGTTTTTGTTGCTGAATTTCCAGGATTTGTTTTCTCATGGTAACAAAATTCAATGTCTGCAGCGATATCTGCATACGCAGTGTTTTTATGAAAAGCACCCAAGCCCTCGAGCGGCGTGTTCATAACTTCATTTCAATCTGTGTGGTTTTGTGATAACTTGTTATGTATGATACAAAACCTGTTTTAACTGCAGAATATTAGACAATTTTACAGAACTGGGGGTGATCTGCAGATTCAATGTGAGTCGTTATATGTTATTTTGTAGTATCTTCTGCCCAAACATGCATACTTGTGATATTTCCTATCGCCAGTCGACAGATTTAGGTAGCCACAGACATGTTTATATAACTAGTTGATGTGAGGTCATATGTTGATGAATTTATCTTTTTTTCTTCTTCAAATTATAAGAGAGTCAAACTCTTGATTGTACATGTGATTAGCCATAGAAAACTGTTACCATGGTGATAATGTGTGTCGTAAATTTTGAAGGAATGAAGAACCTTGTTGTCAAGGCTACAAATGTTTCTGTTCAGAAGTGTGATTGGTTGTTGGAAAATAGTAAAATTGTTTCATGATTTGATAAGTTAGCTCTTCAATTTGAATAAACAGATTTTTGCAAGGAACACCTGTGTTATTTAGGAGGTCAATATGAAGTAGGTTGTAGATCTAAAATGAGAGACACCAAATATAAGTTGGTATGCTTTGGAAGGTTATTTTCTTGGGTAAGTTGTGTTCCAGGGGGAAGGTGTCAAAGACATAGGTAGGCTGTTGTTCAATGATAGGAATGATATTATGCAGAAGTGTAATCCTGAGTAGGTTGTAGTTCTGTGGCAGGACACTAGGGTTACATGAAGGAGGTTTGTCCTAGGGGTAGGTTGTAGGTCTGTTTCAAGACTTGACAGATTCCTTGTAGTAACACTACAGTCAAATTCTTTTTTTACTGTTTTCTTGGGTCACTTCGAATTCACAGACTGTTTCTTAACCACCCCAGCACTGATGGTTGTTGTCGTTAGCATAAAATCCTATTTTTCAGGTGAAATTTTCCCATCAAATTCTGCAATTTATCTTTAGAGCTGGATACAACAGTTGCCATAAATTCGGATCACAGCCGAAAAAAAAGAAAGAAAAATTGTGTTCAATTTAAGAAATCCAATGACAGGGATTTTTACCACTTATTGTTATGTCACAGTGAAAATTTCAGTCATTCAAGTGCCATATCTGAGAACCTGATTTTCCTTTGAAATTGCTTTTGTAAGCTGTTATACAAATAGTGCCACCCCTTTACACAGATCAACTACAAAATTGTTACAAAGTCAGTTGGAAGTGCTGCACATCAATATATTGCATGAAATCCATTTTGCCATATTAAACTTATACTGGTACTTTGAAGTATAAGAAAAAATGCCATATTTTAAGTGCTAAAAGATTATATTATGTGTGTGTTAATGTGTGCGAGTATGTATGTATGTATATAATGATTCAAATTTTGACCTTTGACATGTGTGGTTGACCTTTGGGCAGAAGTTACTACGAACTTGATTATTAAAAATGTTACATGTAGTTGATGAATTTTGTATAACATAGTATATCTATCTTGCTTGTGGTTTCATGTGCATAGGGCTGTGGTGTGAGAGTTCAAACTCCAAAGAGCCTTTGTGTCAGGCACAGCGATTGGTCCAACACATAACCTACCAGTTGTTTGTGTTGGATACATCAATTGGTCCTTACTGTTTTTTGTGTCATGCACAGTGATTGGTCCATTACAAAAACCAAGCACTTCTTGTGTCAGACATGATGATTGTTCCATTACAGTAACCAAACAATCTTTGTGTCGGACACAGTGATTGGTCCATCACTCCAAACCCAGACAGTCTTTGTGTCAAACACAACGATTGGTCAATCACATAGTCACATATTCTGTTGTATTATTGTTGTTTATCTGGTGACACATTTACTGTGTGTGAAATGGTTGATGTCCTTTGACGAAAAAGAAATGAGTACTTTTTTTTATTGATTATATCATTTTCTTTTGGAATGGTTCGAATCTTTGATGATAATATTACTTGTATTAGATATATTGGTTATTAGTTAAAGCGTTCAGTTTAAAGTATAGATATTGAGGTACGACAACATCTGATGAGGTCGTAGCTATTTTAGTCAGAATGGTATCGGAGTCACAAAGGAGTACGATAAAGATCCTGTTACTATATATAGACTGTTACCGTAGACGTAGATCCTGTTTATGTTATGCCCAAGGGGAGGGCAAGATATATCTTAGTTGTATGATGAATGTGTGGTATGGGAACGGCATCATGTGTGATAACATGTGACCGATCAATGATGGGCGATGTACACAACAAACTGTGTCCGTAGCTCATGGTGATGATAGACGGTGTGACACCCATTTTTCGCTTTGTAAGCTTTTGTGTGAGCTGTTAATTACTTAACCAAAGGGGTTGTCTAACAGCCCCTAGCAAAGTGCCCAAAATGCCATATGCGGATTGCTGAGTTTAAAACAGCTGATGTCTAACTATAATCTAGTATAACAAGTCTATGTCACACTATTATGCTGGTCAAGATTTAAAAACTCATTTAAGCTGAATATTTTATCAGGAAATTTACTTAATGTGTTTTAATGTTGAGCATGAAATTTCCAATAGGGCATACATTGATTTTCCAAGTTATGTGAGGAAAATAGTTCAAAATGTTTTTAATGTTTTTTTATTATTTTAAATTACTGTTTTCTTATTCCAGAAGTGTCCTGGTGTTTACTGAATGATAATATGATTAGGTCCGGGGAGCAATATAGTTGTACGTGACACAGACTTGTTATAAAGGGTTATAGCTTTTAGAATTAACATTTTAAAAAAGTGGAACTCACTGTAGGTTTATTTTGAAAGCAGTTAAAAACTGCATTGGTGCAGAGGTCATGTATGTGTTTAAGATCAGAAATATGAAAGTTAAGATTGTTCAAATAAATGATTGAAAATATTGAAGTATTGAAATATACCCTAGGAAAAGATGGATTTTTTGAGAACTGAAATGGAATCATTAACACAATGATTGGAAAACATTGTTATTTTGGGTTTTTATTGTATTGATATATATTCTTTTCATTTCTGTGTTTAATATTGATATAAATTGTCAAAAACAGTATGGTTAGTTTTCAACTGTTGTAAATTTTTCATTAGTAACCATGGTTTCAATGCCATACTCTCCGGTGAAGGTCTTTATAAGCAAAAGAGACTTAGCAGAATTGTTTTATAGAAGTATAAACATTCAATGTAGAATTTCAATGGTTTAAATGACCTTACACTGAAATCACCTCCTATATAACTTTATAGTAGATTCGCTTGAGCTTTTCGCCAGACGACTTATTGTAAAGTCGTCCAACCATGCTTTTATTTGTGTCATGTCTGCCTTCGCTTCTGACTCTTTAAGAGATGCCCAATAAACACCAAACTCGGAGTATAATCCAATATACATAATTGTAAAACAAACGTGTTGTGCTTTTTTGTCCTTGCATGATCTCACTTCTCCTTTGACCTTTCAACTTTCAGTCTGGCCTTGACCTTTGAACATAGGGTTGAGATCACATGTTTTACACACGTTCTGCCAGCTGTTTGTATATATGTACTGACACAAGCATTTAGAGAAGAAGAGTTAGCAATATAGTACCATAGAATGGCCGTACGATGGGGTGTGTGTGTATGTTCAGGTCAACAATTGACCTTTAAACTTTCTGTATAATCAAGCATCTTGCCATTACTATTTAAGGAGTTAAACTACATCTTTCTACAAGGAACCGTCCAAAATCTTTCACACTTTTCTCACAAGTGAAGAATTATGTACAAGTCTTGTTATTTGCCATTTTAGAATTATATGAACTAGCTTTTTGGAAATGATTGCAGCTGCATTATGGATCATATACTGGCTTTAATCATCGCCAGGCTTGGCTGTAGCCTTTTATCTAAATCTGAATGACCAATGCCAAGATAAACTATTTATTACGCTCTTACATGAAACGGGATCTCTTGTAACCTGTTTAGTATTGTCTAGATTGTCTAGCACTAACTCCACGTAAAACATATACCCTGGATGCTTTCACTTTTCCTATAAAACCCGACTCCTCTTTCAAAACTACAGTAGCATTTCATTTAAACATGGATATTTTGATCCAGAGGAATATCACTTGTAAAACGGCCATGCTGTAATTTGCATTTTATTGTTTAAGTTGATCACAACAGAGTATCATTTAATCTAGAAATCCAAAGTTCTAGCAAACGAATTTAACTCTACTGGCATAAAACAAGCTATGTTTAATACATATTGTGAATTTAAAGCTGAGCAGATGAACAATGTTCCATTTAAGGAAATAGTGTACGGAAATCATGGTGATGGGAAAGGTCAAGGACAGTTTAGTGATAGTATTGCACAGCGTTAATCTAATTGACGGGCTGTGCACCATTTCTGTTTTAAAAACAATGTGTCATTTACTGCATCACAAACCTAGGTGCTGTATTCTAACCATGCACACATTTACACGAGCCAAGCTCACGATCATCCCTTTTTAAATGACTAGGTATTTCTATAATTGTCATGTCTAACTTTTGTCTAGAGTAAATGGAACTTGTATAACTATGGAGTATAACCTTATTTGTCTTTCTCACAAATATACATTATAGTGATTTAAAAATAAATATGAGATCGAATTGCGGAAACTAGTTTTAAACTTATATTAACTGGTTTCTTAATCATTTGAAGAAGTTGAAAATAGTATGATTATATCAATTCATAAAAGTTTGAGAGAATGATTCGATGGAGACCAAGAGGTCACTGTGTGCAGTTTTTGAAGGTCTATAATGAACCTGGCTAGGAATCACAGTATCATGACTTATGCTCCGTAGTATTCTCCAAGCATCTTGTCAGCTTGTGCCCAATGTAATAACAGAATAAAACTCTTATCGGAGTTCTTACACATTAGTTTTACTTCCATGCATTTATTTATCCTTTACCGTAGTGTTATGAATCTTCAAAAGGTTCCCACCAATCACAAACTTGCTCATCATTGTCCGAATTCTTTATCGCATTTACACTTTGCATATAATCAGATATTTGTGGTGTTATAAATAACAATGGTCGTGTGCTTTGATTCCTACAGGTAGCCTTAAGAAGCAGCTTCTTCTGGTTCTGGTGGATTTCGTTTTCATATTTGTAGCTGTTCAAACAACCCTAATATGGTTTGTCTTTATTTTGGAACGAAAGATATCAAAATTGAAAAAAACAATCTGTTGTAACTATTTGGAAAATGAAATGATCAGAAACAGAAGGAAAAACCAAAATCTGCAGCAAAGCACAAAATCAGAGCAATTAAAAGGGGCTCATGTTTTATAACATCGGTCTCATTTTTATCATCAAACGCTGAAAAAACAGACCTTTATTGAAATTTTGCCAAATGGAATAACAGCTTTACTTAAAATATCAACCTTTGAGTCTAAATCCTGGCTCAAAACCTTCTGTATTTCATTAAAAAAAAAAAAAAAATATTCACTGGGTTGTTTGGCAAATGTCACTGTACTGGTGTTTCAAATGTTTGATGATAAATATAAAATCCTGTTTAATGAAGGCCACTGGTTGGCCCCTTTCTTGGCACTGGGAGGTACTTTGGGAGATTGCTTGTGACCTTACAGTCTGCTGGCTATTGTATTCAAATCACTACGTGGCTTAACAGGTGCTTCAATTAACGCAGGTACTTAATTCATAAGTAGTCTTCAGTTTTTATTAGAAATCGTTTTTTCTTAGATTGGCACTAGTTGCCTTTGTTTTTGATTTGTGTTTCCGTTTAAAACAAATAATTCCAGGCTATTTTTATGCAATTTTAACATTTATTTTATTCGTGAAAAAATTCTTAAAAAATAATGCATGATTCTTTTGGTGCTAATCAGATGAATGTTTTTATCCCACCGAAAAATAACATTTGTTCAATAACATTTTTTTTCTTTTTTTTTTCTCCATATTTTGTTTTTTTGTTTTCTTCATTTGTTTCAAATAAAGAAGAACAAGCCGTTAACAAGCATAATATTCACCTAATTTTTATATACCCGAAATCTATGATATCTTAAAATGTTTTAATATATATTATTGAGAAGAACCAGCATGCATTTGTTGCGATACTATTACCCTTCTTTTGATCTCAATATTTTTAACTATTTAGGAGTATTTTGGTACAGTGTTTCCCAAACTATTTCCTATGTGCCAATGGAGATTATGGACGGAAGACGTAAAGAGAATATACCCACTTACCTGTTGACCCCAGTGCTCAGGGTCATGCCATAAAAGACGGACTCTTATTCTCGTTTCAGATGACTGGAACATATTCTTAGGCGAAACCATATTGGAAAATATTAAAAGAATATTTGGACGAAATAATATAAAAAAAAAATGTATCAAAAAAATTTAGACAGACATAGTTAAAATACTTTGAAGCAGTTGATTTTCTTTTTTGATTTTTTTTCTGTTTCTGTTTTTTTTTTAAATTATAAATGTATTAGATTTAATATGCATATTATAAAAATAACAAAATAAAGAATAGGATTTTTAGACAATAAGAGTAATAAGTCTTGATTTACTTGACATTTCCGACAACTTAGAGGAGGACATTGGTGCTTTGAGCAGTGGGGTGTTTGATACAGACTGGGTTATAATGTTCTGACCACAATCTTAGCTATAAACACTTGGTAGTTTTGTTGGATCCTCGCGGTGGATGGACGGCTGTTTGCTAGGCTGGGCTTATAACACCACTGAAGCTTTGCTGCTTCTACCCGTAAACTAATCTTTTTCCAGGTTAGTCCTGATAGTCCATCATCTGTACTATCCCAGCATGCAGTTGTGTAGTCTTGCACACGTTACAAAATGGCAGCCAGCCAGCCAGCTAGCATAGTGCGGTGTGTGGTTTTTCCCGCCCGCCCCAAAAATGCTGACGTTTAAAGCAGCAAGACAGAAAAAAACTCACCAAAGTTGTTTATATCATTGTATGCCAAAGATGTCTTCCAGTTACTTTCCGTGGAAATGAGTGTAACTCATAAATTTGTTTATTTATGAATAAATGTGGTGACGTGTCTGGTTTTGTTTATAAAGAAAGACGCAATTGTTTATAATTTTTGTTAAATCTATTGTAAATAGGTATTTTTTTGGTTAAGGATATTCCTTTTCATTCTTTTAAAAAAAGTTTAATTACGTAGTCAATAAAATATTTTTCAAACTATAGCCCTCATTGTGTTCAAACTGCCCAAGTTCTTCACTTGTACCGGATATACCCGACACACCGACCTACTACGTACACCTGTACACATCTCGAGTCACGAGACATTTGTTCTACTCACCAGTAACCCAATGGAGAAGACACTTATAGATTTAATTGAGATGTTTATATTTCGTAATTCTTCGCTTATCATTAACATTGAAACGACCTCCACCTCCAATCTTAATTGTAGTAAATATTTCCAGGGAAATTCCAATAATCCTTGCACGTTATGTGTTTATGTGATGGTCAAATTTTCCCAAACTGCAAGATTCCTCCGTACTTAATGATGACAGCAAGGGTACCAATTTTAAGACAGAGCGACTATTCCGATATTACAGCTTCATATGTTTTATTCTTAGGTCGTTAGATACAAGGCGTCCCCTCAAGGTACATGTCTAATTTTTCACATGTCAGTGTAGCATTTTCAAATGTGTTCATCTGTGCCCACACGCACAACCTTTAATGTTATATTATAAACGTATAACTGCATAATACATTTGGTCCCGTTGTATCGAAATAGTTCAAATATCAAGAATGATGACATGTATATCTATGGGATATAGGAAGATGACAAGGGGGAGTGAAAAATCATACAAAAGCTTAAGTAGTCTGCTGAAATCGTGCTATTTGCCATGTTAGCGTTATAATTAATTGAAAAACATAATGTATATACCATGGCAAAACATGTACATATAATTATTCTGGACATTTTAAGAGTATATTTGTACCGCATTCTCAATAACGTGAACAACATGGAAACTTAAAGAGTACATGCATGTGGTTCTATTATTATTTGTAATATTCATGGCTGTGCGTGTGAACAAAAAAATTCCATGGTCAAATGTCATTTTTTCAGAAAGAAAGAAAAACTGCTAGCATTCCTTAAAAAGACTGTGTCATCAATGATCACGTCTTACGTCGTTCATTGTACAATATTACCAATCCGCCTCCAATCATCTTTATTTTGAGGAAAAAATTATGTACCAACAACATCTCTCCTTCATTGGCATATGCCCGGAGGAAATACTTAAGGCGAAATTAATTACGTATCCTGGAAAGGTCACTGGTTAACGTATTGTTTCAAGAACAGAATCGAATAACAGCAAACTACTTATAACACTTTAATTTTTCCTCCAACATGACCGTGTCAATTTCAGAAACAATTGGATGTATATAAACATCCGCTATTACCTTATCATAAAGTAAGAAATACAACCAATGTAAGTTGCCTCAAAATTACCTCGTCAAAGTGAAAACTACAAAAAAAAATATAGATTACCGTCACTGTAAATGTAGTCTACACCTCCATCATTACGTGGTTAAAATCAGAAATACATGTTTTTATCTCAAAGCTACCTGGTCAAAATGAGACATGAAAATTGTAGTTAACCGCCAACAATACGTGGTCAAAGTCGGAAATATAACATGTTTTTTATCTTCAAAGTTACCTGGTCAAAATGAGACATGAAAATTGTAGTTAACCGACAACAATACGTGGTCAAAGTCGGAAATATAACATGTTTTTTATCTTCAAAGTTACCTGGTCAAAATGAGACATGAAAATTGTAGTTAACCGCCTACATTACGTGGTCAAGTAATCGCTACAATTACCAAGGAAAGAAGCACTTATTCAAACTTTTCTTTTCTCCATGCAGAATGCTAAACAATGACAACATAGTCCTGAGCCATATGGTATTTTGTCCATTTATGACTAGTGAGTGATACTTAAGGTCCAAAAGTCCACGTCTTAAATGTTCCGAAAGTTATGTAGAAACACATTGAAACAGAAAGATGTCTATTAAACTTGTATTTTATGTGAGCTACCAGAATATATTTTAGCTACAGACTACGGCAAATCTTGGGGACTGATAGGCCACCAGCATAGTCAATCTCATTTTACATGAAGTAACAATTGACACTAGGAAATTATAATACAATTATCTAAACTTTTACTAGGATTTTAAGTAAGAAATATTACGATTCTAGTTTACCTTCAAATTTACCAGACCAAAATCAAGAATTATATTAAATGTTACTTACCTCCAACGTTACCTGGTCAAAGTATGAATATAGTAGATGTGGCTAACTTTCATCGTTATCTGGCCATTAAGCATTCATTTATATAACACTTACAGCCTACCTGCAAAATTACCGGATCAAAGTAAGAAATAAAACATGTAAAGCTCACCGTCAACGTTACCTGGTCAAATTTATAAATGAAACGGAAGAAGTTTACTGTCGGCATTACCTAGTCAAAGGAAATAATAACAGGGCTGTAGTGTAATTCCAACTTGACCTGGTCAAAGTGAGTAATATATCTCATGTAGTTTACCCGCATCTTGACTTAGTTAAAGAAATGCATCCAACAGATTGAAATTATATCCACAATTACCTTGTCGAAGAGTTAGAAATATAACATTTATCTCCAAAGTTATACTTAAATAAACCACCTTAGGTATAAACGTAGATATAGCAGATTACCACCAAAGGCATCTTGTCCAAGTTATAAATAAAACGTGATGTTTACATTCAGCGTTCCCTGAATATAGGAAGAAATAAAATGGATGTGGTCTAATCAGAACTGCTCAATGTAAGAAATAAAACAGATATTGTTAACCCAACGTTTTCTGTTTTAAAGTAAGAGATAGCACGGATGTATTTTACCCTCAAGTTTTACTCTCGGTAAATTAATTACTAGAAATACAGCATAAGGTCCACTTGTTTTAGTTTCACGATGCAGAAAGATAAACAATATATACATTTCACTGCAAGTGGTTAAGGCGTCTGACATTCTGCTACCACTTTCCCTCCACCACTGGGTCGCGGGTTCGAGGACTACGTGGGGCTGTCGCCAGGTACTGGCAGTAGGTCGGTGTTTTTTCTCCGGGAACTGCGGCTTTCCTCCACTACCAAAACCTGGCACGTCCTTAAATGACCATAACTGTTAAAAGGACGTAAAACACAAATAAACCAAAAGCAAAAGTATGTCCATTTAGGACTAATCATTGGTACTAAAATCAGCAAATAGGGACAGGTGCCTTTGGTGCCCTTTATTACGTTCAAATACAAAACGTTTGGCTACAAAAGATCATTTAAACTTTAACTAGTACTCCATGCAAACCGTATCGTAATAACTCACTTTAACAATGTTAAGCCAACCTCGAGGACTGACAACACACCAGCAGATTAAACCACATGATTACTGGAAATACAAATTAGGAAAGGATGCAGAACGCCAAAGTAAACATTTTTATGTATCATGTGACCATTTTGTTCAGACAGAGTGAGAGAGAGCTTACTAGGACGGGTAACACAAAACCTTCCCAAGTCCTTTAACTTCATATTCAGATATATCAATGATCTGCTGTCTTTTAATAACAAGACATGTATTGGCCACACCGATCGTATATACCCATCAAGGACACAACAGAGTCTTCTACTTCAGCCGCTTTCCACGTTAACTCACACTTGACCAACGGGAACGGCTTACTCTGTACTACTACGGTGTCCTAAGCTGGACGATTAAGATTTGCTTGGGTCGTGAATTTTCCCTTTCTTGATCGTAACATCCCTGTTTCCGATATTTACATATCGCAGTTGTTTCAGTATTTTCGAACTTGCTCCCCAAAACATCAAGATTCCCATAAAAGATATCGACTTGCTGAAGAACAAACTTACATGATTACAAAAGATGTAAACTATGGATAAGTTTCATGGTCGTCATCATGATCGTATTGGAAAATATTCTACTTCTTCACGTGCTATGTAATTGAATGGTTTTATTGTGCCTATTAATATCCTTATTGTTTCGTGGTTACTACACTGGTTCTCGATACAAAGACGTAACACTACTTTGATATGACTTAGATTTTCATGACCGGTGTCGTCAATGAAGCAGAAGACACTCGACCTTCCGGAACACCTGGTCTTTTTCAATGCACTCAATGTAAATCGTTCCTTTGTTTATATTTTGCCCTGGTTTATCGATTTGAGTTCTAATTACGGATTTGCTGACACTTCCATATTCTCTTCTGTTTTATTGTCAGCGAATTATTTTCATCCCCTTTTTTGGGAGGGGGGGGGGGGGGGACTACTTTTACAATCATGCAGAAATGGGGCCGATTGCAAAAAAGAAATGACGACAGATTTTTATCAAATCTCCCCAAAACTGTTTCTAACCCTTTTTTTTAGGTTGGTGAACAGACTCTCGTCACCTATAAACACTTATTGGTTGTGCTAGATTAATCTTTTCACAACCCCAAAAAAATGTATCTTTTGAGACGGAAACGGTTTTCACGAGTTTAGACAATACTATAGCATATGTAATACGATGTAATTAACCGGTCATCTAAAAAGATCTCTTCCGAACCACAAATGCCAGACCTTCAATAAATATATTACATAAATGATCACTTTTCGATATATATTTTAATGTGTTCAAATGAAGTCTCTTGGGTAACAGATGGAGCAATGTCAACGGGTAAAACTTAAAGAAAGTCCCAAACGATTTATAAACATTTTACTTTAAAGTAATATTGATACAATATGTTGCATACATAATACACACAGATACTTATATAATAAAATGTGTTGAACTTAAATAATATTGTCTCGGGTATACGCTCTAGAAATAGGAATTAAGGAAGAACTTGTTTTCAAAATTACGTTGTTTGATGCAAAAAGTCAAACAAAGTAAACATTTACTGCAGCATATGGCCATTTCTCTATTTATGACCCATATCAGCAGTAATAAGGTCAAAAGAATAAAATGTCATGTCAAAGGCGAGTAGATATACAACAAAAAAGGAACGGGGC